TCTAATTAACACAGGATTCAGATTGTAAAACAAAACTATGTACTGTATCTCAGTTTTTCAAAGTGCACTGGTACTTTGCGATACACAATGTTTTTGTGTTTGATTTGTTTTGTAATCACCCTGGTGTTTTATGAGGTATTAGAGTTTCTTAACTTACTTGGGCTGAGAAATCTAAGAATCCTATTGCCACCAGAAATGGAGGACATTTCTGAACTGCATAAACTGTCATTTATGTTGTCTAGGAAAGTTTCTAAGGAAATGCATTGTGTTTTTTATATTTACTAATGGAGTCTACATACAGTACAGATCCAGCCATTCAGAATACAGGTTAAATAATGAGCCAGAATGCGGCATACATACTGTACCACCTTACAACACATTTATTTTGACTTGCACTGCAAACCGACAGATGGCGCAGTGATTTAATTTAATTTGCATTCTGTTTTGACTTTTATTAATTTTATACTGTACATTACAATATGTTAAATATTAAATTAATGTTTAAAAAGAAAGTAGAGATGCTTTATTGTTACAAATGGGGGGAGGGTGTTTGTGAAAATGGTGAATATCATTGACTGTGAAATTTAGTCAATAAGTAAAATAAATATCCATAACTCATAATCTGTAAATTATTTATCTCCAGAATATACCCAAGCAATGGCTAGAATTAAAGACTAACTAGAGGCACGGCCTTGGTGAAAAGAGTAATAATCCAGGCACACTTGTACAAATAGTGAACAAATATGTATTATCAATAACAATAAAAACACTAGACTACACACAACCTAACATGCAAAACACAAGCTACTATATACAGTATAAATACAACACATTTCAGAGGCCTAACATCCTGATCATCCAGAAAACCCCAGACTGCTACTAAGTATTAAAGTTTTAAATAATGCCTACAGAGGCCAAAATAAGAGTTAAGCTGCCTTCTAAATAAATGTTATACAGTCTGCAGTTAAATCTCTTTCTCTGCAAACCCAGATGCCACAAAGTAAATGGGAGCCTTTTTTAAGAAAATTGTAGATATTTTTAGAATCGTCCTATTCTAAAAATGCACCCACAATCAGGAAATGTCATCTTTTAATGAGGTATCTTTCATCCAGAAACTCAAGTTCCCTAAAAACACAGAATAGTAGTCGCTCTCTAGCAAGATTCAAAAACTTATCTCCAATCAAATTTTGTTTGGATGATCATGAAGCAGGGGCTCGCGCCTGGTGCAAGCTTTAAGTTTCAACTCCTTCTGACTTCTCTAATGTGATCTGACATTCCCTTTCTCCTCTCTTCTCTGTTCTCCCCTTTTCTCTTTTGCCTCTCCTTCTGTGATCTTAATGTGATCTTATATGGTGTTTCTGGACTGTTCATTGACAATAAATTACCCACATAATTAAATAGGGAAACCAACGTAAACCTTGGGGGACCCCCTACACCTCAGTGAACATTCTCTCTGCTTTGAAGCTAGCAAAAAAAAAACTTTTTGAGACACTTCCTTGTCACGTCCACATGCAAACGTCAACACATTCCCACGCGCACAGACTCCAGCAGACGTTCACACAGTAACTCCAGATGCTTATTACCACCATGGTACCACTACCATATGCCAGCAGCCATATCACCCTGCAACTCACAACTGGCAGCCCACTGAAGCTAAGCAGGTGTGAGCCTTGTCAGTACCTGGATGGGAGACCTCTTGGGAAAAACTAAGGTTGCTGCTGGAAGAGGTGTTAGTGGGGCGCTCACCCTGCGGCTCATGTGGGTCCTAATGCCCCAGTGTAGTGACGGGGACACTATACTGTAAACAGGCACCATCCTTCGGATGAGACGTAAAACTGAGGACTCTCTGTGGTCATTAAAAATCCCAGGGCGTTTCTCGAAAAGAGTAGGGGTGTACCCCGGCGTCCTGGCCAAATTTACCATCCCCTTTATCAATCATGGCCTCCTAATAATCCCCATCTATCAATTGGCTTCATTACTCTGCTCTCCTCCCCACTGATAGCTGATGTGTGGTGAGCGTTCTGATGCACTGGTGGATGCTGCACATTGGAAGTGGTGGAGGGGAGTCCCCATTATCTGTAAAGCGCTTTGAGTGGAGTGTCCAGAAAAGCGCTATATAAGTGTAAGCAATTATAATAATTATTATTATGGAGAAAAAAATATTTTTGCGCTTATACAAGATAACATTGAGTTAAAACATGATAGTTAATCTGTGAATAATATTGCCTACATTAATATCTTGCATTATACATGCAATAATATTGTCACATGCAAAGTAGTGTAGCGGTGAGGCTTATTAAAATACAGGAATTATGTTTTCTGTTCGCTTGCCAGTCCCTCTCTCCTTCATCTCAGAGGTGCTTGAGGCCATTCCATTTGGTTCAATTAAGGTGTTTTTCTAGCTGATAGAGTGTCCTGATAAGGAACAGCTCCCCAGCACTGAGATTCTCCAGCAACCTTAACAAATGGTTATCTGGCGCCTTAAAGTCTGAGATTCCAAGGGAGAGTCTTATTCAAAGTTGGTTTACGACCCTAAGGTCAGAGGGCATGGTTACTCATCATCAGCCAATCAGGAACTGGTAGCGCAGGTTAACCCCACGTGCGTCTCTGATGCCCATGAAACTTTGAACCAATGAACGACCTGCATGTCCTCCAGGTAAAAACAGGCAACATACTGTAACACAGTTTGGAAGGAAAAAGCAAAGTTCCCAAGCGCAGAACAGTTCCCAAGGGAACACAGTTCCCAAGCGCAGGACATTCTCGCAGCGCGCCTGCTGGACTTTCAGCCTCAGGGCTCCACCTGAGCATCCTCAGACTCAGCCCGGACAACCACGTAACAGCCAGTGTGTCCGAGTGCAGGACTTTCCTTTCTTCTAAGAGTCGAGGATGGAGGTTTGCAGCACATAAACCAAAAGGATCCACCCAAGGTTAGCATCAGCAGCAAGCCTCGTGAACAGGTTGGAACTGTGGACAGCTGAATCACTATTCAGAACTAGCGCTTCATCAGGAACGAACCGGTCTTCTTCCTGACCTGCTGGGACCTGCAGTCACTTTTCTCTTGTGCATAAACTCTGCTAGTAAGCCAGAACTAACTAGCCGGTCTTCAGAGAGTCCACTGCTAGAGCATTGCAGTAGAAATCTCTCTCACCACATCGCAAGCAGCACCTCTTTGTGTCTGCAGGAGATCTGACTCCACACAGATTGGATGAGTATTCAACATTCTGCATTACCGCTCGAGAATTCAATTGTTATCCCAACCAGTTGATATCAATTTAATTCCTATGAGTGATGTACTTGCTTTTGAGTATTTAGTGTAGAAGTTGTAACCAAGTTCATTTACAAAATGGTCTAAATGAATGATATACTGAACGTATGTCCCTCTTGATATTTGTAACTTTTCGTGATTGAATATATACCTGTTGTATTCTGCTAACCCTCATGATAAGATCTCTTATGTTTATATGCACCTTTTATGTATTAATAAATGTATCTCGTGTATTAGTACCCGTGTGTGTGCGTTGTTTGAGTTATCCCACAAGGCTGGATTCTAATACCATGAAAAGAATCATTTTGAGAAAACACTACAGTAGCACTGACTTTAACAACTGAAGAATATCGTCACACACATTTTTTTGGAAAAAAATAATCTAAAGGAGCATGTATACTGTCTTTTAAATACATGATATAAAACACCATTTCAGTGAGCATTCCCAGATTAAACTCAAGTCTTGTTCGCCGTTTCTGTGAAAAGTAGAAATGACACAGCTTTCCAAATGTATGGTAGTGTTGATGCAAAACTGCCCAAAAAAATGCACTATAATGTTAAACATTGAACAGATTATATTTTACGATGACTTGTCATGAAGACTTATTCCTACTAAGAGTATACATTTTATACTACTGATATTTTAGAAAAAACATTTTTCTGTGTTGCTCCCCACAAATTTGGTACCTGCCTATCAGGGTAGAGTCAGGGCCATTTTTCTGATTGAGAGTACATTCATGTGTAGCTGGAAATAGTGCTGTATGCCTCAAATGGATTTCTTTATTTGCTATTTACCTTTTAAGAAGGTACAGAATGCTAAAGGACAAAATGATCTCAGGTTTTGCTCAGTCTTTTATAGCTACTGTATATTATTTTTGTATTAATTCAATGAGAGTACTGTACTTAACTTATTTTCCTGACAATTTAATTTATGAAGGATAGTCAAAAAAGGCCAACAGACAACAACATTAAAATCAAAGAATACATTCATAAGAATTAACTGTTTTGGACTGTTTAATTCCAGAAATCTTAAATCCCATTATTAAGGTATTTGTTTATGAAGTTTGAAACTTCATTTTAAAGATTAAGCTTTTGGCAAATATTGTATCGTAAATGAGAAATGCATTTGAATAATGAAAACTAATTTGATGTGGTACGGTAAATGGAGAATGAATTGGAATCCCATGAAAAACATTTTAAAAGAATGAAACGTGCCTGGCGAAACTAATTGCTGTCTATACTGATTCACATAAAGAATGATCTTTACCTGTCAATAATTAATTTTAAATTTTAAAGCCACTGAAGCTTGTCAGCATATCTATAACAGTAAACAAAAAGCTTCTGCACTACTTCTTTGTGTTCTGTGGAATATGAACAGTACTATCAGCTGTGGGTGTTTTAAGAATTCAATGACCTGTACAGCCTTGTTATTTGATACTGCCCCTTAAATCAAACATTCACTGTTTGACACAAATGCATACCCCAGAAAAAAAAGTCTTTCAGTGGGAGGTTGAAAGTAAAGTTAAGTGTTTGATCAAAAAGTTGTCCTTACTCTACTGAATGTGTTGTACAATGGGTAAAATGGGTAAAATTGTCAGGTCTTCATTTACTGTATATCTATAGATTTTTAACCTTCTTCTTTTGTTCACTGCAAATGACTGGTGTTGGTTATCTGTTGCCTTTTTTACAACTAGAGAACAGCCTTCAGTAACATTTATCAGACATTTAAACTGACCTCATTTCTAAGTCTTCATTCTCTTGTGGTACAAATTTGTACAAGGCCACATAGGTGTTAAGCTGCAGTATATCCTTTCGTTGTTGTATTTTCACCTGCAAGACAAGAAAACAAGTCTTAAAACTTGAGCAGAAATAATAACTTTGGTGGCTTCATATAATTTTGTTTTCATATTTGACAAAGATAAGTGAAACTTTTAAAATGCTTTTTGAGTGGAAAAATTACCATAATGTTCAACAACAGTGTAGAAAGCATAAAAAATAATTTATTAAAAAGGAGTACAAAACTGAGACAGGAAACTAGACCAATCAGTCTTACTTCTACTATTAATAAAGTTATGTAAATGATCATTGGAGCTAAACTAGAAGAATACTTTACCAAATACAAAACAATTGCATTTTAAGAGATTGAAATTAATTAAATTAATTAATTAAATTAATTAAATTTAAAATTAAAATTAATTTAGAAAATGTTTAACAAAACTGATCAAAATACTAGAAAGTTTTGAACAAGTAACAAGGATGGGAGATATCACTAAAGCATATGATGTGAGATATTTAGATTTTTGGAAAATATTTAATCTGGTTAAAAAACATGACGCAGCATGTCATCTAAAGGGACATAACCTGTAATTGAGATTATGTAAACAATGGTGTGACACAGGAATCAGTATTAGGCCTGTTGCTTTTTCTGATTTATAGTAGCTATTTAGAATCTTGTATTTTTAGCATGAGAGCGTGGCATGCTGTAATGGCTAAGCATTTGACCTCACAACTGACAGACTGCAGCTTCACGTTCCTGCTGTACACTTGAGTGAAATATGTTTATTTAGTCGCTCTAGTACCAAGCTATAAAGGCTGACCAAGACACAGGGGAACAATTAGAATATTTTCTTAACTAAAAAAGAATTAATAATGATGGAGAATAAGAATCACTTATTCTGGAAAAGGATACATAGGCATTGTTAATTCCATAATTCTGGTTTTCTACAAGGAGTAGGTCTACAAAATTTTGATTTACTTAACTATCAAACTAAAATAGCCTGCTCTTGTTTGTATTTTCATTGAAATCTTTTATGTTCTTATAATGTTAAGAATTTATATTAGCATGAGTGAAGTCTTGAAGAAAACTGTTTTTTTCCAATTCTTCTAATCTTTACCTCCCTAAGAAATACAGTATAATTGCCTAAAATACTTCTAAAACTTTCAGCTTTGATTCTAGGCAAATCCCCTCTAATAAAGTACCTTCAGAGATATAGATTGTTGTTTAAAGAAAGAGAATAGATACATAAGAAAGCACTTATGTATCATTTATGTATTTTATGCTCATGCTCAGATGAATACTGTTCCTTGCTACTGTAATGCTACAACCAGTGTTCAGTTAGCAAATCAATGCCCGTCCCCATTTCAGCATGTTAAGGCAGATTTTCAATACCATAAGCCATAATTAAACACCTGAAAAACCCAATTGACAGCAGGGCATTATTCCCTCTCCTCGAACATCACGGTGCTCATTCTTAGAATCTGCCCAGCTTTGCTTAGCTACCTGCTATGTACTTGCCACCCCGAGGCTTTGCTTTTTTCTCAGTGCTTACTATTTAGCTTGGCCTCCTTCTTGCTTCCTGCATCACCACTTCTGGATTTTGCCTGTGCTTAGCTTTATCTCCCTTGTTTGAACCTTTGCTTGTTGAATGACCTGTGTGGATTTTCCCTTGGCACTCAGTGTACCTGCAGCTGTATTCCTGCTGTGTGGCTGCCTGGCTGCATAGCCACGTCTCACTGGCTTGCTTCACCAGCTTGCTTCACTACTCCTGCATTAGGATCCTTCATTCAACCAGTTAAAAATGACCCAGAACATGGTTACTGTGGGAGAAGAAGCAATCCAAGTGTTGAGGCCAACCATAAATCAGCGCTGTGTCCAGCAAGCTAATGAATTTGATTTATTTACTCATTCTTTTTGGGCTTCTGTCCCTGACTTATAACATACCGAAGTTCCGCCCCCACCCACTCATTTTGTCCCAGAGCCCTAGATCCATCCTCCACAGCCCCCTACTCAGGAGACTTATTGAGGCTTCCTCATGAAGTATGAAATTATTTTCTCAATTGAACCAACTGCTTTCCCTTCTGACTTGGTAATATATCATATATCATATAACATCTCCTCTCTCATCGAAGGTTTGGCCTGGGCCATAAGCTTTGTGAGAGAAGTAAAACCCGATGTGCAGGAACTTCCAGGTGTTCAAATACAAAATCCACCTGGTGTTCTGCACTCCTGAAAGAGCAGCTGATGCATCGCACCAACTACTGTAACCAAGACAGAGAAATCAAGACAGTACATCGCTATGCCATTCAGGTCTGGACCTTGGCCATCAAGAATGGATGTGGGGAGGAGTATGTTGCTGCACTATTTGCCAGATTATTTGAACAATTGAAGGATGAATTGGTATGCTGTGTACTCCTGCAAGACTTAGAAGCCCTCATCAGTGTGGCTTCCCATTAGACGTATGCCTTCGAGAGCAATGGTAAAAGCAACACCTGCAGGTTCAGATGGATGCAGCCAGAGCATAAAGACCACTGCCTGAACCCAGCCCTGTAAGACAAGCTCTTTCACCGCCATTCAAGGAGCAACCCATACAGGTGGCAAAAGACAGGCTTTCCCCAAGCAAGTGCCGGCAACACAGAGTGAATGGGCTGTGCATCTATGGTGGAAGGAAGGGACACTTCTACATCGAGTGCCTTGAGATTCCAGGAAATGTTCCAGAATAGTAGGGCAGACCTTACTGAGTGGAGGGAGGTAATCTCTTCAATCTCTTCACCACCTCAAGTCTACTGCTTTTGCTGTCCTGGGGGACTTGACAAGTCCAAGTAAACACTTCTGTTGACTTGTGAGATACTGGGAACTTCAATCAAGGATAGCTGAATGTCTGAAGATCCCTCTGCAGATCTACTAAATTTTATCCAATGTCCTGTCTCTGGAAGGAAATCTTCTTGGAGTCATTGTCCAGCAGACCTGTCCTTGAATCTCACAATGGGAGCACCTCATTGCGCAACTATCTCTTTCTTGTGTGTCTTATCCCTACTCTACCCCGTGGTCCTGGGATTCCCTGGCTGGAACTGCAAAACCTTCACATAGTTTGGCTTTGAAAGAAACACACCAATTGCAAATGTTTGCCCTGTAGGATTTTGACCACAGTAAGATTCCAACTGCATATTACAAGTTTGCTTACCAAGTGTCCTTCTTCCTAGAAGCTGGTTATACTTTCTTTCTCCACTAATCCATGAAACAATAAATTAAAGAAAACCTTGAAAGTGCATTGATTTGTCCGTCTACATCTCTAGTTGGATTGGGGTTCTTCTTTTTCAAAAACAAAGATGTCTTTTTCCTAACATTGCATTGATGATTGAGGCTTGAACCAGATTATTGTCAAGAACCGAAATCCTCTTCCATTAATTTCTTCATTCCTGGAGAGTTCCAGCCAGGCAACAGTGTTTTCTAAAATCAATTTGAGGTTCTATAGTTCTATATTCTGGTATGGAGAAGTAGATTAAGATGACTTTTAACACTAACATGGGCCATTATATAGTAAATACCTGGTGATGCCCTTTGGACTCTGTAATGCCCCTGTCATCTTTCAAACCTTGGGTTACTTGGATACATTTATGATTGTCTATATAGATTACATTCTAATCTTCTCCAGCTGCATCACTGAGTAAATCCAACATATTAAGCAGGTCATATCCTGGTCATATCCTGGTTCATCGCCTGTGGGAGAAGTGCAAGTTCCACATGCCTGAAGCTTTGTTCCTGGGCCTACTCCCACTTCACTAAAACAAGTCCTGTGGTTTTGGCATTTGCCAAATATCTGCCAATATTTGAGATATTTTGAATAATTTCAATTTGATAGTGGATCCCATCACAGTCCTCACCAAGAAGGTACCTAGACAGAGAAGATAGAATCCGGAGGCATAGTGGGCTTTTACTGAGCTGAAACGATGCTTCATCTTGGCGCCTCTGTTGCAGGAGGCTGGCACTTCTCTACCCTTCAAGCCAGAAGTGGATGTATCTGATGTGCATCCATTTGACTGATGGAGCCATATCCCAATGGGCAGGTCAATCTGGCACTCTTTCCCCGCGTGCATATTTTTCTAAGAATTCTTGGCAGTGAAATTGGCCCTGGAAGAGTGGAAGGCTCTTTAGAAAGGGGCTGCTCATCTGTTTCTTGTGCTTGGCTTACTTGGAGAAAGCAGTAGACAAGTATGGTGGGCTCTATTCTTCTCCCAATTCAATTTTTCCATCACATACAGGCCTGTGTTAAGAAATGCACTGTCTAGAATCCATGTCCCCGTTGACTCCTCAAGAGACTCTGAAAACATTATTTCTACCTACACACATCATCAGAAATAGTCTCCCATCCATGGAAAATAGAGTGAAGAAGGCACTGGCGTATGATCCCACACCCCTAAAACCCCTCCTGGCAAGCTGTACTGTACGTCCCTCAGTTTGTTAGGTCTGAAGTCTTACAGTGGGTCACACCTCATGGATGGTGGGCCATACAGGTGTACTGCAGATGCTGGTACTTCTAGTGGCTGAGGATGCGAGATGATGTTGCCTCCTTTGTTGTGACATGTTACACTTGCAAATGGCCCAAGCTTTCCTGATTACACCCTGCAGGCTAGATGCAGCCTCTCCTGACTCTTGGGCCTCCATATGAATGGATTTTGTCTTTGGCCTATCCACGCTTTTGAGGGTGATCGTGGAATCAGGTTATCAAGGATCATTTCTTGAAAGTTGCCCATGTTGTCCCTCTGCCCAATCTGCCATCTGCTTCTCAGAACCCATACATCTTCAGGAAAAAAAGTGTTCACACTCTATGGTTTTCCATCTGAAATAACTTCTGGCTGAGGGATCCAGTTAGTTTCCAGATGGTGGTGGTTAACCTTTTCTCTGGATACCACTCGGAAAGTAATGGACAGACAGAGTGAGTTAACCAGGACTTGGAGAATACCTTTGCTGCCATGTCTCAACCTTTCAGGATGAACAGACTCAACTAAGAACATCCTACTCAATGCCTCTGTAGCAGCAAGGCTTATTAAAA